AGGAAAAAAAAAAAAAACAATGTTAAACATTAAATAGCATCACCGTGGCAACGGCGCTGCTAAAAACGGCCCGAATTAGTGACTCGCAGCACGGGGAGGGGGAGCAGGAGCGGCTCCGCTCCTCCGCGGGGGCTCCGCGCGGTCCGTCACCCCCCGATCCCCATCCCAGCCTCCTCCGCCGGCGTGTCCCGTGAGGGGAATGACCCAAATTCGGCACTAGAGAGGGCTGAGAGCCAGTTCCTCCCTCCCAACCGCGTCTCCTCTCCCCGGGCAGGGGGTCCCGCGTCCTCGCCCGGCTCACCCGGTGCTTGAACTTGTTGGAATTCTTGTTCTCCTTCTTGTTGAGGTCGATGAAGTAGTGGGTGACCCTCTCCAGGTCCCCCTTCTCCATAGCCCAGGAGATGCGGAAGGAATCGCAGGTGATGTTGTTGATCTCGATGTTTTTGGGGGTGGACAGCAGCTCCATGGCCGGAGGGGCTGAGCTCCTGCGGGCACAGCGCGGGGGTCTGGCGGGTGCCGAGCCCCCTCTCGCTGCCCACGCCGCCTCTGCCAAGGCCGCCCGCGGCGGAGCAGATGGCAGCGGGCTGGAAAAGCGGCCGGGAGCCAGGAATAGGCAGCGCAGGCAGGAGCAGGCGGCGGGACGCCGGCAACAAGCCCGGTCGGGTGCGGGGGCCCCGGCCGCTCCCCCGGGTGCCGCGGGGCCCCGGCGCGACGCCAGCGGGCGTTTCGGGGTTTGCTCAACACCGGGTGGGGAAAGAAAAACAAGGGGAGAGCCGAGGGAGTTGCTGCGAGAGGGGAGGGTTGGACGCAGGCACTGGAAAAGCTGGATCCGCCTTTGCCCCGGCCCGTGCCTCAGTTTCCCTGCACCCACCAGGAAGGCGCTTTTTGGGGGCGGGGGGGGTGGGGGGGGGTGGGCGATGCTCGTGGAGGGGGGACACGGAGTCACATTCGCGGCACGGGGACGGGAGGCTGGAAGCGAAGCGTGACCCGACCCCCCCAAATCTTCAGCCCGGGTTTGTGCGGGGGCAGCGGTGGCACCGCGGGGCTGCCAAGGTGCCACCACCCCCCCACCCACCCCCTCCGTGTGCCCACGGCCACCCACGCCGGGCTCAGCCGTGCGTGTCCCCGTCACTCGGCACCCACGGCCACCCACGGCCACGTGTCCCCCCCATCTGCGCAGCCCCCTGCACCCCAAAACCGCTGTCACCCCCCCACGCCAAAGCCCTTGGGCACGGCAGAAGGTCACCGCTCTGGGGACACGGTGCCACCTCGCTGCCCCGCTCCCGTGGCCGGCGGTGGCGCAGGAATTCTGCACCGGGATCGTGCCAGCTGGACCGTGTCACCGTGTCCCCGGTGCCTCGTGTCCCCTGCCAGCCCTCAGCGCCCCCCGTGTCCCCCCCTGCCCTCCGAGCATCCCTCGGCGCTGCCAGCGGGATGTCGCCCCGCTGCCAGCGGGGTTCGGCGGCCGCTCCGGTGGCAGCGGTGCCGGTGAGGGCCTTACCTGGCCGTGGCGGGGGGCTGCCGGGAGGAGCGGGGGTGCCGGTGGAGCGGCAGGGCAGGACAGAGAGCCCCGGCGGGGCTGATCCAAGCGGGAAGGACGGAGGATGCCGGAGGGATCGAGGTGGTACCCGGCGGTGCCGCGTCGCTGCCTGCGGCTGATGCGACTGGGATCCTCCCAGCCAGCTCGGAAATAGCAAACACCCTCCAGAGGAGGGAGAGGAGAGGGAAAAAAAAAAATTAAATAAAAAAATGGGGGAAAAATAGATATCCAAGGAGCTGGGAGAGAAGGGGGAGGAAGGAAAAACCTCCCGGTTCTGCCAATGGCATGGAGGGATGCGTGCGGCGTCAGGTGATGGAGGCAGAGTGGGATGTGGGTGCAGATTGGGGGTGGGTGGTGGGCAGGTTCTGCCTGTTCCCCCCCCCAATTTTGGGGGCCGGGGGAGGAGGGGTTGTCCCGGTTGTGCCGCTTGCGGGACAATGGGGACACCCCCTCCCGGCCCCAAAAATGGGATGGATGAGGAGCGTGGGAACGCTGGTACCCACACAGGACCCCCGCGAGAATGGGGTGCAGAGCCCACGGGGGGCGGACGGACGGACAGACTTTTTGTTTTGCACGTAGTAAACACCCTTCTTGCAGGGGAAAAGCTTTTTTTCGGGTGGGAGGGTGGGAGAACACCCCAAAATCCTCATTGCCCCCCAAATTTCTGCGAGGGGGTGCTCACGCATGAACCCCCTCTGTGGGGGTGCCGGCTGTGGGGCTGCAGAGGACCCTGAGGGGGTGGTCGCACTGCAGGAATCCCGTGAGGGTGTTAAATGAAAGGCTGAGTGACCCCCCAAAAATGTCCCCCCACAGCGCTGCCCCCGCTGCCCATTTGGAGAGCAGGGCGCTGCCCGTCACAAAGATGGCGCCGCCGCCTTCACACCGGCTCGGGCATTGCCAACCACAAAGATGGCAGCTCGTTGCCAAACCCGCCGTGCCCTCAGCAAAGATGGCGGCGGCAGCGTCGCCTCAGGAAGAGCGCGGCGTGAGTGACGCATGCGCAGTGGGGGCGGCGAGCCCGTGGCTGCCCGGGCAGGGTGAGGGGCGGCGTGGCGGGGCC